CGGCTCGCCCAGACGCGAAATAGGAATGGATTCTGTTCGTCCACGTGTCCAGATCTAATGGATGAGAAACACTGATTTTAAAAAAAAACGCGGTGGCATTTTGGTAAATAATTGAACATCGAAGTGCAAGTAAAATGTATTACAAGTGCATGTAAAATGTATTATAGGTGCAAGTAAAAATTTACACTGAGCATCAATACTTAGTTGCACTTATAGTTCTAAGTAGTTGCACCTATAGTTCTAAGTAGTTGCACACATAGGTATAAGTAATTGCATCTAGGTGTATGAATGTTTGCGAGTGGTTTTCAGGAGTATTAGTACCCGCTGAACTCAGATCAATGAATGTTAACAAGGCAAGATTACATGCACTTATAGGTGAAAGTAGGTGCATCTATAGTTATAAGTAGTTGCACCTATAGTTATAAATAGTTGCATATATAGTTATAAGCACACCGAGGTGCATGAATGGTTGCGGAAAGTGAATGCTAACAAGGCAAAATTACATGCACTTATAGGTGAAAATAGGTGCACTTATAAGAGATTTTACTTGCACTTCGATGTTCAATTATTTACGAAAATGCCACCGCGTTTTTTTAAGTTATTAGATCTGGACACGTGTCACGCGCTGATTCGTTCGCATTTCCTTCCTGGGCACTTATTCGCACCTGAGTGCGTCCCTATATATATATATATATATATATATATATATATATATATATATATATATATATATATAACCAAATAAAATTTAAGTAGTAGTTTATTACCAAATAAAATCTATATTATTTTATGATTTTAAATTATTTGTTTTATCTTTAATCATATAAAAATGGAAAGAAGATAGTTTGCAGACAATTAAATTTCCGCAACAAGAAAGTAAGTTTATTAATTAAAAAATACGTGATAAAGTGAAATTTTCTATATATAAAAAAAAAGATTATAAATAAAATAAAATTAAAAATTACTATATACAAAATTAAAACAAAGAGGAGAAAATTAATAAATCATTATCTTTTTTTTTTTAATTACTAGAATTTCAGAATTTTGTACTACAAAAATTAGAAATTCGAAATTGTACTGTCATGCCTATTTAATGATAATAACAGGCACATAATTCTTCTGCCATATGGGGAGAAAGAATTTAACATTAAAAAAAAAAAAACCATAGGGGCATTCTTGGAATAAAAATACATATTTACAAAGAATAATCTAAATCTAAAAACATAATAAGTGTGAATGAAAGTTTATACCCCTGATTTATTTTCGTTTTTTTCGTTAAGTTTTTTTGTACATTATGCTATAAAGGTTGTACATTAAAATATTTTGGACAAACATACCCCTACCATTATAACTTCCGTTATCTTTTCCACTATTGTTACCATGCACATGCATCCACCATATGTTTTCTTATCTTCTTCATTAATAATAATATATACACATTAAATATTTGAGTTATATGTTAATTATTTTTTTTTTTTTTTTTTTATTTCAATAGGAAGGGGGGAACCCAGAAAACAAAAGAGATTACAGTTGTGAAGTATTTACAAGAAACGCTAAGAAGGAATTCCTTCTTTGTCATCCTCAAGGTATCCTAGTAGTTCTTCCGGTGGGGAGTCCAAAACATGCATACCTGGGGGAAAGTTTCTGGAGTAATACGCTAATCGATCCGCAGTAAAATTCTGTTCTCTGGTAATTGTCTCTACATGCCAGCTTTCGAACCTACAGAGCTCTCGTCTGCAGGCGGCCAAGATGTTATGTGCCGCAATGCGAGGGGGCCTCTTTATTCCTTGTCACCATATCCCAGTTGATCAAGTGACACCTTCTCTCTCCTTCTCTACTTCCCCATAGAAAGTTCCTTATAAGTTTCTCCATGGAGTCAATTAAACCAGCTGGTAGGAGGGTTGTCTGCATCACGTAATATGGAATAGTTGAAAGGACGAATTGTGCAAGGATTTGCTGTCCCGCAAGCAGAAGAGTTTTTGATCTCCACCCCGACAGTCTCGTTTGCATTCTTTCTAATAATCCTGCAAAGGATTCCTTGTTAACCCTTCCATGAAGCGATGGCAATCCAAGGTATCTGCCAAGGTCTGCGACCTTAGCCATACTAACAGCTTCTTCTATGCTATGTTGTACGTCCAAAGCTGTATTCTTTGAGAAATAAATGGAAGACTTTTGGCAGCTTACTTTCTGTCCAGAAAGAGAGCAAAACCAGTCTAGGCAACCTTTCATCTCAAATGCTTATACAACATATGCTTCACCAAAAAGCACTAGATCATCTGCAAAAAAGAGATGAGACATTAGGGGTGCATTTCTAGCAATTCTGATTCCCTTCCATCTACTTGCCATTTTAGAATCTTCGATAATGTGACTTAATCTTTCAATACACAAGACAAATAAAAGAGGGGATAAAGGGTCTCCCAGTGTAATTCCCCTTCCAGGTTTGAACCACTGCGTCTGCTGGCCGTTCCAAAGAATTGACAGTCTTGAGGAAGATATGCATTCATATATGTTCCTCCTCCACACATGGTTGAAGCTAATATCATTCAAAGTGTCATCAATGAAGCTCCATGAAAGCCTGTCATATGCTTTCTCTAAATCTATCTTCATGATTAGCCAGCCAAGATTACCTTTCCTGATTCTCATAGAATGTAGAACTTCCTGGTAAGCTAATATGTTTTCTGTGATCGACTTTCCCGGGACAAAACTTGTTTGGTGTTGGCCAATCAATTTTGAGGAGATATTCTTCAGCCTGGACGCCATTGATTTCGTGATTAGTTTGTAGTGAACATTGCAGAGACCAATGGGTCTGAATTGTTTCACCGTGTCCGGACTCTCCACCTTCGGGATTAGTGAGATTAAGGTATCATTAGTTCCTTCCAGTAAGATATCGTCTTCGAAGAAATTTCTTACCAATCCGAGCAGACTACCCCCAAAAATACTCCAAGCTTTCTGATAGAAGCCTGCTATAAAACCGTTAGGACCCGGGGCCTTGCAGGGAGACATATCAAAAAGCGCCTGCTTAACTTCATCCAATTCAAATTGACCATTGATAGCCTGCCATGCGCTTTCCGATATTCTGGGGAAGCACCCATGTAAGGGGGTATGTGGAGATCTGTTGTGGTCTTCAGAAAATAGACTAATAAAATAATTTCTCACATGAGCAGCGACCTCACTTTCCTGTGAGATCTAGTTGCCGTTCTCGTCTTTCAAAGATGATGCTTTCCTTTTTTTTACTACCAGCCATGGTTGCAGCGTGGTAGAAGTGCGTGTTACGGTCTCCAGACGTGATCCACTCCTCTCTAGAACGTTGAAACCAAACCAGTTCCTTCTGCTGTAGAGCTTCCTCTAATTCTGCCCTCAACTTCTTGTCCAATCTCAACAGATCGGAACAGGTATTGGAAGCTAAGCTTCGCTGGACTCCTCCCAGTCTTGCAAGAAGGTGCTTCTTCCTTTGGAATATGTTCCCAAAAGTATTCTGGTTCCATGATATCAACGCCTCGGTCATGGCCCGATTGTTGCATACTAAGTCACGGTTCTCCTTCCAGACACCATGGACTAAAGGTAGAAAGGTGGAATGTGTTGCCCAAGCAAAGTTGAATCTGAACAGCTTGTTTGGAACTTCCATTTGGCTCACCGATGTCCGAATGAGAAGGGGAGAATGGTCGGAACTTACCATTGGGAGGTGCTCCACCGAAGAGTTCAGAAATCTTAGCTTCCATTCTAAATTGCCAAAGGCCCGATCGAGGCGAGCGCCTTTAAAAGTGGATGTGCCGAGGCCCCTCATCCAAGTAAACTTAGCTCCTTCGTAGCCTAGATCCATCAAGCTTTCTCTAAAGATCCATTCGTTGAAATCTACACATCTGGACCGAGAGAAATGATCCGCGTTACTAACTTCCTGCTGGCACGTGACATAGTTGAAATCTCCGGTAACGAGCCAAGGAATCTGGCTACCATTATGAGAAATACCTGAGAATAGTTGTCTGCGAAGATAATGAACTAGGCTGCCATAAACTAGTGATAACATCCATGGCTCCGATTGATTATCACTGACCTGCAAGGAAATAAACTGTGGATTAGTGCAGGTTATATTTATAGATAAGAAATCTTTCCAGAAGACCCATATGCCACCCGAGAAGCCCACTGCTTCCACTCTAAGCCATTCATCAAAACCAAATTTATGGCAGATGGAATTGGCCTGAGTGCTAGAAACTTTTGTTTCCAGAAGGCAAACGGTAAGCGGTTTATAAAGATTGCAATACTGATTAAGAGTGCGCCAAAATGATTTGGAGGCTGCACCCTGGCAGTTCCAAACTAAACAGATCATTTAAAAAAAAAAGGAGTAAAGGGAAAATGCGTTAAAGACGCATATTGCTAGACACCAACTCCCCACGAGGGGCAACGAAATGCTCATCATATGCTAAGGCCTCATTCGGCATTACAGTTCTGCCATCCGTGGTATATACAAGATCCGGAGGATTTTCCTTAAATCCATTCGTGGAGTCCGCTATGTTCGGTACTATATCTGGTGGATTTTCTTTGTAGCCATTCATAGCCTCTGCCAAATTAAATATAGTATCAGGTGGGTTCTCCTTAAAACCATCCATGGTGTCTGCTATTATTGGTGGTACAGGGTGAGAGAAAGCATGATGAACTGTGGAGACTATGAAGCCCCTTCCACGATTAGAGCCTCGGATGACAGTATGTTCTTCCTCAGCTGCTGTGCGATTCGGAATACCTCCCCGTCCTCCTCGACCTCTTGCTCTTGTTCTAAAGCCTCCGCAAGGCAGTGCCACATTGTGGTTTTGAGGGATGTCGTGCTCCGTAGCCATCAGTTCAGGCTCTCTTGAGTTATGCTCTGGCTGTCTTTGGGGGTTATGGTAATTAGTTCTGATTCTAGGTAGGGCCGTGGCTGGATGTTGAGTTTCCAATCCCGTGTCCTGTTCATTCACTTCTTGCATATTTTCATCCAAACCATCAAGGGTGGAAAATCGCGACTGATCCTAGATTCCTTCGAATGTCGGGACATTGATGGTTGCTGTTTGATCTCCTGCTCCGGTTGCAAAAGTTCCTGGTTGAACATTGGTTCTGGCTCGACGTCTTCTTTCTTTCCGAGTGACGAGCATCCAAGCTCCAAATCTTTCCGGTGGCTTTTGCTTCTCCACCGGTGGAGTTGCCATATCTGCGGTTACAGCGTTCTGCCCAGAGTTGACTCCTCCTTCGTCACCTTCCTTGCCGCAGTTCTCTTGGTGATGGTCGTAGACACCACATTTGAAGCAGATCAGATTAATCCCTTCGTACTTAATAGGCCAATCCATGAAATGTAGGACAAATTTGGATAATAACGATTTTGTGATATCGATTTCCACACATACTCTCGCGAATTTTCCTATGGATGCCAAACTAGTTGTAGTATCAATCTTTACAGGCCGACCTATAGTTTTCCCTATCTTCTTCAAGAACTCCTCGTCGAAGTACTCTATTGGAAGCTCTGGGAACCGAACCCAAACCAGCAGCTTCTTGGTCTTGTTCTTGGATGGGATGAAATTGGGCTCCCATTCTTGAACCACCAGATAGTGTCCCAAGATTATCCAGGGTCCCCCGAATTTAGCCGCGTCGTAATCTGCTAGTAATTGGAACTTCGCTATATAGTAATCTTGAGCAAGGGCGATTAAATCGAAGGTGGACTCCGGCTTCCACATGTGCTGGAGTCTCTGCAGAAGATAAGAATAGCCGACTGTCCTTCCCAAAACCTTGATAATTAGGGATCGACGCCATGGACGTCTCAACCTTTCTTTTTCCTCTTTAGTGACTTGTATTACCGGAAACCACGAGTTTGTACTTGCTTCATCCATTGCATCATCATCGGAGACCAAATCTTTGTCCGGGAGGCGTCCCTCTTCTCTGCGTGTCCAGGCTTGGTTCGGAGTCGCGTCTGGAGTTCTCCATTGTTGAGAATCTGGGGTGGAGGCCCCTGCTACAATAGGCGTTTCTTGAGAGTAATCCGCTGCATGCAACGGAAGAGGTGATTCGATCGCTTCGCGACCTCGCTTCGCTTTCTTGGTGCTTCTTTCCAACAAGTCCTGTTCCTCCGGAGACCGATGGGTCGCCGCCGGTGAGGCCACGGCTGAGAGCGATTCAGCTTTCGTCTCCATTTTTACACTCAGTTTGCCCTAGTTGAGTTATATGTTAATTATTTCATAAATATAAATATCAAATTTATAAAAATGATTTACATTATAATTATTATTATTTAGAATAATTTAAATATCTAAAATCTAAATAAATTTAAAATTTTAATATAATATATTAATATTGGGCACCTATTTTTTGCGCATCGCGCATAAAAAATACTAATAATACAATACATGCATATCCTTTTTTCTTAATTAAAATAACAAATGTACGATGGTAAAGTCAAATTTGCCAAAGAAAAAGATTTTAAAAAAATTAAAACAAAGAAGGGGGGAAATTAATAAATCATTATTATTATTATTTTTTTTGAAAGCTATAACAAGATAAATCACGATCTTTTAAGTTTTAAATTACCAGAAAAATACGAAAATTTCAGTATTTGTACTACAATATACAGTAGTACAGTACAGAATTGTACTCTGGTTATACCTATTTAATGATAACAACAACCTTTGGAATTCTCAATCTCTTACGCCATACCGGCCACTCTTTAATCCACGCGCCCTCACCAAAACCCTCGTTTTCTTCCTCAAAAATTCAGGCGAATTCCATTGATACGGGAGGGATGGACCACATGCACGGTATGGGGATGCCGGCGTCATCGCCCGCCGCCGCCGCCGCCGCCGCCGCGAACGGCACTTTTCACCGCCGCCACATGATGATGCACATGACGTTCTTCTGGGGGAAGAACACGGAGGTCCTCTTCTCCGGCTGGCCGGGACACGACCACCTCGGCATGTATATTGTCTCGCTGGTTGTCGTTTTCGCTCTCGCGGTTCTGGTGGAGTGGTTGTCGAATTGCAACTACATCAAGGACGGCGCGAACCGTGCGGCGGCGGGGCTCCTCCAGACCGCCATGTACGGCGTGAGAATCGGGCTCGCGTATATGCTGATGCTGGCCGTGATGTCATTCAACGGCGGCGTATTTCTGGTGGCCGTCGCCGGACACACGCTCGGGTTTTTGGTCTTCGGGAGTCGGGTCTTCAACAAGCCGCCGTCGACGGCGAACGGGAAGACCACAGATCTCCCACCTATGAGCTGCAATTGCTGATAGCTAGGAAAATTTAGGAAAAGAAAATTTTTCTTACTTTTAATTTTAGGCCTTTTTTTTTTTTTTTTTTTTTTTTTTTTTTTTTTTTTTAAATAAACGTTATTAAGTGTATGACTGTATGGTACCAATATTTTTGCTGCATAACAAATTAACAATTATAATATTTATATCAAGGAATGGTTCACCTTCAAAGTGATGCATGCATTCAATATATTAGTTTTAGGATGTGTTTGGTTGGTGGTTTTTGCCCATAGGAATGAGTATGAAAGTGATTGTTGTTGTTTGGTTAATAGGTTTCTAGAACACTACTATGAGTTTCGAATACCCCATCAATTGAAAAACCCATACCCAAATACAATAAGGGTTTCATTCCCTTATTCATTCTTAACCACTACTATTAGTAACCATTCCCTTATTCATTCTTAACCACTACTATTAGTAACCATTCTTATTCCACCCTACTACCAAACATGTTAAATACTTTCACCAAAACCCATTACCATTACCAAGTATTTGATACCCATTCCGATTCTGATTCCTATGTGCGAACCAAACACACCCTTAATCACCATTATTGATACAATGATACCATATACTCATGATTTTTACTCTATGCTCCCAAATTCTACTCTTTACTCAATGATGTAACAATTAAGAACGGTTCGAAGAAATCATATTTTGAAGATTGTATATCCAATCAAGCATTTGGAATTGCGTTCGATAGGATTTGAACCTATATATACCGTAGGTTAAGACATCTACCCTATCCATATGCCATATCCCAACGGTAACGATATCTTTTTTTTCAGTGCAACTTTTCTTCTTCATTTTCACATTTCGCTCAAGCTTTGTTCAACACTCATAAATTATGAATGTGTAGGCATATATTTATGAATGTGCAGTTATGAAATTATGAATATTTTTTTATGAGATTATGAATTTTCTGTTATGAGATTATGAATTTTCTGTTATGACATAACTACATACTGTAAATTCATAATCTTAAATGTAAAAATCTGAACATAAAATGCAAAACGCCATTAACAGCACAATAACTATTTTTTTTTTCATTAAAAACAATGCCGTTTGGGCCCGTGTTCACCATTCATGGTGAACACATTTTCAGGGCATAATTTGCGATCCACTAGGCGGACTTGGGTCCACACTGCAAGATGGATATGGGTCCAAAATACATAATTTACATAATGAAAGTTCAAAATTTGATGTGAACATTTTGTATGTAAATTAATTTGAATTGTGAATATTTTAATTTGAATCGTGAACATTTAGTATGAAAATTGTAAATAGGTAAATTGTGAAAATTTAATATGTAAATTGTGTATTTTTGAATTCAAGTCTACAAAATAATTTGCCCTTAAAATTTGAAAGTAAAAAATGAGAGTCTATATAGTATTTTTCTATACTCATACCGTCATACGTACAGTAACAATATTTATTTTTAGAAAGGCCTAAAATAGTAAATAATAAATAAACTAAAAGTAAAAAAATTTCTTTTTCCGAATATTCGTATTAGCTAGGAGCCACAGTGCATAGGCGGAAGATCTGTGGTCGTCCCCGCTGCCGCACGGTTCCACTCTTCTCTACCACATCCTGTATGGTCTGGGGAAGGCGATTATACCTTTCTGTCACATGGAATTACAGTGCGTTAAAAGTTAAAAAATAAAAATAAAAAATACATAAATTAATTGATTAAGTTAAAAGCCTTTTGAAAAATTAGTAGTTAAAAAGTTTATGTGTTAAAAGAGAGAAAATGACATGATTCATGAAATATTTGAATTGATGATATTCAAGAAGGTAAGAAGTATTTTTCTTATATTAATAACTAGTAATTAAAAGTAGGATTTTAAGTGTCCAACTCTGAACTTTGTAACTGTATTTTGTTGCATGCGTAACAATTATAATATTTTTCAAGAGTAAATATCACTTTTGGTCCCTTGACTATTATCACTGAAGCACTTTTGGTCTTTGACTATTGTTTTTTTTTTCAAATTAGGTGTATGACTTTCTAACTAGTATCACTTTTGGTACTCCGGTCTAATTTTTCGGCCACATATTACCGGAATTCCAACTGAAAATATAATATGTTATAATTAGAAGGGTATTTTGATCTTTTCTGATGTAAGAATATTAGAATAGACAAAGAGAGGAGAGGGAAGGTTCAGGCTTCTCATTCATCATACCGAATTCTTATACAAAGGTATCATCATATACAAGGTAATAATGAATACATATATATAAAAGGTAGTAACCATATCAATTACAACTGCTACCATATATATAATAATGTCCATAATAATCATATTTATAACACCCCCCTTGGACATTATTTGACATGATCCTGTCTTGTAAGAACTTGCTAGAAAAACCCTGTGAGAAAAACCTAGACAAAAGAAGTATATATATATATATATATATATATATATATATATATATATATATATATATATATATATATATATATATATTCATGCCTCGTTAAAAACTTCACTAGGAAAACCTCTTAGGAAAAACCTAGTTGAAGAAAAGAGTATATGATATTTGTAAGAACATATATTGTACTGATTACCTCATTAAAAACCTTAACTTAAGAAAACCCTGTGGGAAAAACATAGTTAAGAGAAAAAGAGTACAATCATAAGCCTTCGAGGCATAATCGGCGTAATCTTCAGGATTTTGGGATTTGTCTACTTAAGCAATTATTTTGCAACATTTTCCCATTTATGTTACTATATCATACTCATGCCTCGTTAAAAATCTCACTAGAAAATTCAGTGGGAAAAATTAGTTGAGGAAAAGAGTGCATGATGTATGTTTATCCTTGTTTTAGATTAGCTGCCTCATTAAAAACCTTAGATTTAAGGAAAAATCCCGTAGGGAAAAACTTAACTAAGGAAAAGAGTACAACTATTAGTCTTCAAGACCCAATCTTCAGGATTGATTCATGCAAAATGATACTCCCCTCAAGATAACAATCTTTAAGTTTCATACATTAAATTTCAAAAAAAAAAAATGTATAGGGAAATTTTGTAAATACACATGTACAACTGACAATGGAATAAATATACTCTATAATAATCTCGTGACTCTTTTGAAGAGTCACGTGGTATAATATTGATATCATATTATCTAGTCAAAAGGATTTCATTATATATCCTTTTATGATTTGTGCAACACAATCTTTATTGACCCTTTATGGGACAATCTGGGTAAATATAGTACATCCAGTTTTGGGACTTGGCATTAAAGGGATACAAAAATAATAGCAAGTACCCAAGTAGCCCATTGTATATTGGTTTGTCTAAGTATCCAATCAAAATCATATATTGGCTAACTGATGTATACAAATTTCTTCAAAGAAAAACTCTATCTTCAAGTCAAGATAATACTTAGCTTTCCCAAGCTTTTGTTTCAAAATCTCCGTCTTTAGATATGGGCTGACATCATCAAACCCTTTATATATTTCATTGATGTTTTCCACCATCAATATTTACTTAGATAATAAATAATAAATAAGTTCATTATCAACCCTTTATCGAGCACACAATGGTACATATTATTCCTTCAATGAGGATATTAACTCCATTCGCAACCCTTTAAAGAGTAAATATAATGACACTTAAATTCTCATTTCGGGAATTATAAATCCATAAGGGATTTCTCAAAATAAATATTAACTATTTTAGGTCCTATAAAGACCTTAATATTTTAATGTGCGATTTTCACTTTTTCTCATTTTGAGAACTTAAAATCCTTCGGGGACTTTTGAATTTAATATTAGTTGCATATCTAATTTATTATTCTGCCAATGATGTAGCGGAACTTAATGCCATTTATCGTGAAAAAATATGTTTGATTAAAATCAATCAAGGGTATCTGCGTGAACCCATA